TGGCTCAGAAGGTCTCTTCTTAAATTTCTTTAACACTACAGCCGTGGACCATTTGGGGTGGAAAGAAAGCTTAACCTTGAACAATGATTTCTCACTCACAAATTTGTAAATATACTGTGTCTTGAACAACAACCTCTTCAAGTCAAGAAATCCCAACATCTGCAATATTCCATCCTCTGTAGTCTGAAGAGAGACAAACAATTGTTGAAACCTTCCTCGCCTCTTGCGGAGCTCTTTATCATTTTGTGCAAAGAAGAATCTCACAGACCATTGTATTATCAGTTCCTTTAGGCAAAAATCCAATGTCTTATGCTTAAACATCACACGATCATCTGTATTGCTAAAGAACCCGCACATCTGTGCCGGTGTTAACGTCAACCCACAGCTCCTGAAGGAAACTGTCAACCCAATAATGACTGCCACCACCCGACAAAACAACTGAGCAACGCAAACCCCAAACGCCTTCATAATATCAATAAACTCAGGTGTTGGCGAAAATCTTAAGTCTGCTCTCAAGGCTACCTCATGAATGGTGACATACATAGAACGAGAATACGCTCGATCAGTTGAAGTTGATAATTTTACCATCATATCCTTCGGGAAGTAATACTTCTTTCGAAAAAAGATCAAGTCGCTCTCCGTCAAAATTGACACGACATCCTTTGGGTTCTGACTTTTCCTCTAGTTCTCAGTAGAACGGGATTCTCCAGTTGTCGTCATTTTCGTGAGAGCACACAACAACGCTTCATAGCAACGCTTCGTCGCAACTCTGCACCGCAATGCTTCGCCTCAACTCTGCACTGCAACGCTTCGCCGCAACTCTTTGTTGCAACGCTTTGCCGCAACTCTTCACTGCTACTCAGGAAGACTTTTTTTCTTGTGGGAAATCTCGGATCAGCTGAGGACTTCACATCTACCCACTTCTTCAGGCCCCTATTTATAGGCTCCAAAAGGAATTTAACCATTAAATGGTCATTAATATAAACTTCGAAAAGAAGTGAAAAATTAAATATTTGTCATTCATTAAATAACTTTAAAAAGAAGTGAAAATTTAAATATTTGTTATTAAGTAGGCTCACGAAGGAGTGTAAACATTAAATGTCATAAAAAAAGAATGAAAAAAAAATGAAAAAAAATGTTTCATCTTCCAAAAAAAAAGAGAGAAGAAGAGAAAAAAATGCAACAACACAAAAAAAAAAAAAATCAATTTTCTCGAATTCCATGAGCAATTCAAAATTTGGGCTCCCCAACTCTTTGGTTCCCTAACTCTGAATTTTGGGCCCATCTTTCATCTTCGGGCTCACAGGCGGGCCGATGACTCTTCATCTTCTTCGGCTCACAAGCAACCCGTCGTTTTCTTGAACGTCCCAACTTTGGCCCGCCAGATTAGAGGCCCAATTTTATTTTTATTGTCTAAGGCAGGATTTGAACCGTGCCACCCTCTCATGAAGCAAAAGAACTTACCAACTGAGTTGTCTTCAACTTCTAAATATATAAGGAGAAAAAATATGCTTATACCAATACTAATAAAATAATATATATTGATACGTATGCAAGACATAAATGCCCCAGATCTTGATATTTTTTGACGATAAAAATGGTCTCGCCCGAAAATAGGGGGGTAATTGATACACAACCAAAAAATTTCCATCATCCGACACTAATCTCAAGACATTGCACGGATTTCAAAAATGATGTTTTGAGCAAGAAACATTCAAATCTTGATAAAAATTTATCCAAAGCTCCAATTTCAGCAAATTTAAAGTCATATCGACTGGCTCGATGAAACACACCTAATAATATAATAACTAGTCTAATCCGAGTCAAATCAAGCCCAGATCAAGCCATTAAGCCACCCTTAGAAGATTTTAAGACACATTTGGAAGGTCAAATAGATGTTGACACTAGCAAACTTATACTCGAATCGAGCGTCTCGACAAGACAAATCCAACGAGCTCAAGAACACTCAATTTCAACATCGTTATGACACTCAAATGTCAATTAAACGCCGCATGATCGAAAGAAACTCTCTGAATCGTCCGATCAAAATGGTTGATATTCTTGCATTAATTGCACTCAGAATACTATAAATAGACCCCCACCCCTCAAATGAAAGGGAGCCGAAGTCTAGAGAGAGAGTCTGAGGCCTTGAGGAGAAGCTACAGCTCAGCATCACCGCCGATCGTCATCGATCACTGCTGACCTCCGTCGTCGACCACCGCCAACCGTAGACGACCACCGCCGACCGTCGTCGACCTCCGCCAACCGTCATCGACCACCACTAACTATCATCGATCACCACCAATCAGACGCCGTCAGTCGACGTTGTAATCTAAAAAGTATAATTATCTTTTCCCGTCTGTGGGATTAGAGATTTCTGCAAGGGATTTTTGTAATTATCAATTAATAGTGAATTTATGCAACTGAGTCAGACCCCGTGGTTTTTCCCTTACGGGTTTTCCATGTAAAAACGTCTGGAGTCATCACCACTTGTTTTTCTTTTATCTATGTGTGTGTTGAACTTTCGTACAACGCTAAGACAATAATTCATTACTCTACCGCCGCGAATTTTCTAGCACGCATCAAACATAATAAATGCACATAAATATATACTAACTAAAAGTCAATAGAAATAATAAAGTTATATGTAAGGTTATAATCTGTACAAGTACTACCGCCGCGAATTTTCTAGCACGCATCAAACATAGTAAATGCACATAAATATATACTAACTAAAAGTTAATAGAAATAACAAAGTTATATGTAAGGTGATAATCTTTACTAGTGAAAAATGAAAAAAAATGTTTCATCTTCCAAAAAAAAGAGAGAAGAAGAGGAAAAAAATGCAACAACACAAAAAAAAAAAAAATAAATTTTCTGAAATTCAATAAGCAATTCAAAATTTGGGCTCCC